AAGTTCCCAGGTCTCATCATCTCTCGAAACAGTGAAGTCAATTGGCTACTACAATCGCGCGACTTGACACTTTTAGATTTCTTCTTTTGGGGTCATCTCAAAAGTAAGGTCTATGCCAACAAGCCAACAAAAATTCAACAGGTGAAGGATGAGATAATAAAGCATTTTGGTGGAACAACTATGCAGGCAAAGACATCATTCATCGAGTGGAGGTTTGCCGCCAAAGCCTTGGAGGACATTTGGGCGATATTATTTTTTACACATAACTGCCATAATTTAAATAACATGATCCCATAGAGAAATAAAAAAATGTCCGCCAATAACACTGATTTATTTACTGCTGACTTTGATCCGTCTTAATGAAACACCCTATAAATCTGTCTGTAATATTATTCTTCCCCGCGCTTGCAACTTAGATTCATCTGGGCCTGTCACGTGAGCCTTCATTCGGCGACATGAGGGACATGTAAGTTCAAAACTACACTTAGCTTCTCTGACGTTACACTGAGCCCAAATTATATTCTCCGGGAACTGTGGTGATTCAAGATACCACATAGTCAATATAGATTCTTCTTCTTCTTCTTTGTATCTTGTCTATTCAGGCCGTGTCCAATCGTAGACTTTTACAATTTCCTGTCTTTTATAACTCTTACTAAATGACTTTTCGCAATCTCTCCTAATTTCTGTTCTGCAAACCTAAGCACAAGTTCGTTAGGCAAGTTATGTGCTGGTTACCTTTGTCCTACTTGCTTTCAATATGTCGTGTGTTGCAGTTTTTTTGGTATATGGTACTAATGAGCTAGCCCAAATGACTTGACAAACTTTATAGTCTACCAATAGAAGGTTAACCAATCAGAAGACGTAGAATATTCAATCCGTCGTGTATAATGGCGGCCATTTTGTTTACTTTCTCCGAATGTCCAGTTCTAGCTTGTTAAGCGAAGAGAAACAGAAGGAAAAACTACTGAACTACGCTCTGCTACTTTACCGGGATATCCACTGCTAACCTGAACAACGCTTCCCTTCTTGTCTTCGAAATATTCACTGCTAACCTCTGGATTCTATACTCAAAGACGACCGTCATCATGAACAACAATGTGAGTATCAAATTTTACAAGCCCACTTTCCTTATTATGTGCCCAAGAAATTTCAACTGTCTCCTTTTTTTGTTAAGTAAAATTGTCCGTCTTGCTTCCATTTTCTCACATGCGCAGTCTTGCTACTCTAAGCATCTTTAACCAAATTTATGGTGCGTCAAGTCTGTTCTTCACCTGTGATGAGATTGTCCAGTATTCACCGATATCACATAACTCTCAGGTAATATTTTCCTTTTTTTTTTTTTAACGAATCTTTCCTGTCATTTTGCTTAACTTTTGAAAGGCATCTTTCCCTATCCCAATGCTTCTTCGAATTTCGGTGTCGCATTTTCCGTTCTCTGTTAAAACACTTCCCAGATATTTAAATTTTTGTACTAGCCTTAATTTGGCATCTCCAATTTGTGATTTGTTATGTTGGGCTATTCATTTTTAGGAGCCTGTGTTCGATACTGTTTAAAAGCCTTAAATTTTGATTGATGATTTTTAAGGCAGGGAAGACACATCGAAAGAATAGAAAAATATGAACATTCTAGTTTCTGGCATTTGTTCGGACACTGTACTAAATATGCTTAGCAACTATCAAGTAACTTGTCCCATTTGAAAACGAGAAATGACAGTATCCAACAATTTAAAACAGCTCTGTTATGGCGTAATGGTGTCTGGTTCAAGCTCTGCACGAAACAGGTTTGATTATTGTTTTACTACTTGTTGGGCCATAAGGAATTCTGCAATCATCATTTCTTAAATGTGCTTATCAATATTCATATGGTGGTGAAACGTGATGCCTTCGATGTGCGCCTGGAAAATCGGCAGGGAGTTATTGATAATTACATTACTGTGCTGTCAGTTTGGGGAAACTAGAACACATCAGAGACACTGAGTAATGGCGAGAACGAAAGCAGCAATAAAATGTAGAAGTCT